AGGACAGGAAATATCTGTTCAGAATCATGCAAATTCTAGTGAGGACCTAACTATGTGCCATGTATGTCCCCTTTGTATTAGCTCACTTAACCCTCCCACAAAGGGCACAGCAGTACCGTGGCAAGTCAACAGCAGGGCATAGCACAGTCGCCGGGTGAAGAAAGATTAAAAGAGTGAATCCCAGCCCTGCCTCTTACTAGCTGTGGACACTTAAGTCAAATTATGTCATCTGCTTGGTCTTCAGTGTCTCCACGTATGCAACACAGATAACAGCACTTACCTCATGACTGTTATGGCTCATATGACTACATCCATGTGAGGTAACGTGAGAGCATTTATCTCATCCCAAGCCCAGAGCTGGCTACTACTACCAACCTGCCTTCGAGGCAGCCAGCAGCATCCGCCTTTCACAGGTGGCAAAGGGACTAACTCCGAGAAGGAAACCATTGCCCAACTGGGGCTGAGAACCACAGCACCTGCATTTTTAAAACTAAACCTGAAACTAATAGGTCTATAACTGAAGCTAACACAGTTTAGCTTTCAACCTCCAACCCAGTCACCACAGCTGCATCAGCCACACAGGGACACGGGCCTAAGACTCAGAGAGGCGGGCAGTATGCGAACACTCCTCAGTGTGCTCCTGAGAAAGGTCCTACAGAGCAGCCAGGCGGTGGAGCGGGAAATCAGACCCAAGTAACTGACACACCGGTGCCCTCCTCTTTCCAAGAGTATTTCACAGACAGGCCTTGTGAGTAAAGTAAGATTCAAGGGTGCAAAGAAATAAAATGTCTCCCTGCTATAATTCTATTGGCAATGAGTAAACTCGAGTCCAAAACTGTTTTCTGCATAAATGATTTGTTTTAATATTGCCTTTTGTCTTTATAGTTATACATGCATATAATTAAAGAGTCTAAGTTGAAGAATTCTGGGAGATTTGCTATAAAGGCCAATCCCCTGCTCTCACCAATTCTGGCTGGTTGTTTTGGTAGTTATCTCTGTATCGTTGAATAACTTGCTTGTGCCCTAGCCATTTCGGCTCAGTGGTTAGAGTGTTGATCCTCTGACAGAAGGATCCCGGGTTTGATTTCAGTGAAGGGCAGGTAACTCAGTTGCAGGCTCGATCCCCGACTCTGGTGGATCGCTGGCCCTTGTCGGAATGTGTGTAGAGAAGCAACCAATCAATATGTCTCTCTCACATTGATGTTTCTCTCTCTGTGTCTCTCACTCTCCCTTCCACTCTCTCTGAAAATCAATGAGAAAAATATACATGGGACGAAATCGGTTTGGCTCAGTGGATAGAGCATCGGCCTGTGGACTGAAAGGTCCCAGGTTCAATTCCGGTCAAGGGCATGTACCTTGGTTGCGGGCACATTTCCAGTAGGGAGTGTGCAAGAGGCAGCTGATCAATGTTTCATCGATGTTTCTAGCTCTCTATCCTTCTCTCTTCCTCTCTATAAAAAATAAAAAATAAAAAATAAACAGAAATTAAAAAGTAAATAACTTGCTTGTACTGATACTTCTTTATTTTTTCAGTTTTGTCTTTTACCATAATTCATCACACACATTTCCCCCATATAATTCCTCAGTTTCGTAATATGGGCTAGCTCAGTAGTCAATGTTAACATTATATGTAAACAGTATTAACTTCCATTTAATAAACTTTTTACTATCCTGCACAGATTTTTTTTTTTTAACAGAAAAGAAGGGAGAGGGATAGAGAGTTAGAAACATCGATAAGAGAGAAACATCGATCAGCTGCCTCCTGCACACCCCCCACCGGGGATGTGCCTGCAATCAAGTACATGCCCTTGACCGGAATTGAACCCGGGACCCTTCAGTCTGCAGGCCGATGCTCAATCTACAGAGCTAGACCGGTTTCGGTCCTGCACAGCTTTTTAAATTAACCCTCAAGTTCATAACTGCGCTTTCTCACCTCACCTCAGTCACAATATGGCTCTAGTGGGCTTTTTTGCACTTTAGAGAATGTTAAACATTCAACATGCGTTCCTCTAACGGTTAGAGTCTAACCCCTTCAAAAATACCCAGCAGACTAAGCAGCTTCCAAAATATTGAAACAAATTTCCTGCCCCGTGCACAGGAGACTCCCAGGAATCTATTGAATGTTTCAATTAAGTGGCCACCACATCATAATCGATTAATGTCCTCACCCCGGAGACCCCAGTGAGCCGAGCTGTCCCTTAGACGCCTGCTTCTTTTCCCCTAAATGTTGTCTTTTTACTGTAAACCACAACTACAGACGAGGCTGGGGTGGAATGAAACGTTTTCCCAAGTCCTTCCCTGACCTACAAGGCAGCCACAGCTGACGCCACTCAAGGGGGACAAGACTTTTCCTCGGTCATTTTTTTTTTTTTTAATCTAAGCCTCCACCTACAAATAGCCAACACACAAGGAGCTCTACTTCATCTCAAAGAGTCCTCACAACAACCTTACACGATCGGTATTATTTTTAACCCCATTTGATAGATTCAAAGACTGAGACTTGGGGGGGTAAGTCACTTGCCGAGCGTCTCCCAGAAATGGACGGGCTGGGGCTCCGAACCCAGTCCGCTCGGAACGCAGGGGCGATGCTGCCAGGCCTTGCGCCCAGCAGCTGCCCAGAGACGCGCGCTGGCTGTTCGGTAAGGACCGGCGGGCACTGGCCGGACTCGCTGAGGGACTTCGGGGACGTGGAGCAGGGTCTCCCAAAGGGAACTTCCGCTGCTGCAGGGTGGGGAGGGGCCCCGCCGGGGTCCAGCTGCCGACACCGAGGCCGGAGCCCCTGACCCCTCCATGTCCGGGTCAGTCTGCGCCGCCGGGGCCGGGGGCTGGGCCGGACCCGGAGCCGCGAGAAGCCGGACCGAGGGGACCCCTGCGCCGCGCCCTCCGCTGCCGACGCCCCCGGGGCCCCGGGCCTGGCCACGCGAGCCGTCCCGCCCGGGGGCCGCCGTCCACGCCCAGCCGCTGGCCGCGTTGGCCCCGCAGACACCCTCCTCACCTGCGTGTCCGCCGCCATCCTACCGGCGCTGACTCCGGAAGTGCTTCCCGAGCACTTCCGGGTCACGGCGCGGCCCACGCGGCAGGGCGAGGCCAGGAGCTGGTCGCCGCTGCGCCGCCCGGGTTGGAAACCAGGAGGGCGGACCCGGTGCTGGGCCACCGCCGCTGACCGAGGCCTCTTCCCGGCCCCGGGCCCGGTGCCCTCAGCCCGGCCTCGGGGGGAGCAGGGGGATTTGTAACAGTGAAGCCCCTGCAGCTCCGCCCCCTCGATCCGCAGCTCTTATTTCTTAGAGAAACGTGTTTCCTGGCCGGCAGGACCTGAACTGGGTAAAAGGCAGACCGGAAGCTGGTGTCCGTGGTGGACAGATCAGGGTTAGAAAACAAAGGTGGATGTGGCGGTCAGGGAAGGATTCCGGAGCCGAGCAGCCTGCCCCAGGGGAAATGAACGCCCCAGGCTGGGCACTTGAGCCAAAGCTACAGGCGGGAGGCTGGGGCCTCAAGGTTTGATAGTTGCCTGAATTTTACTCAGCCTGCCCCTCTGCCAGCTATACAATGGGGGCTGCACCGCTGATTGGTCCTCTAATAAGCAATGGCTTTCCAACTTGTGACCAGAGATCAAGTCATAATACATCCTTGTCACATTCACACGTACCCTTTCAGCAAGCAGCAGGTTTTTCTCTTTAAAATAACCACTGCACAATTTGAAAAACCATGGCACTCATTTGAGTGCTTAACTGACATTAAACCTACTCAAAGCACCTTGGTGTGGTTCAGTGGCGGAGTCAACCTATGAACCAGGTCGCAGTGGGTTCCTGGGGACATGCCCTGGGCTTGATTGATTCCCAGTGTGGGGGATGCAAGAGGCAGCCAATCAATGATTTGCTATCAATAAAATCTCTCTTCCCCTCTGAAATTAAAAATATTAAAGAAGCAAAGACCAGTTTTGCTCAGTGGATAGAGCGTAGGCCTACAGACTGGAAGGTCCCAGGTTCGATTCCGGTCAGGGGCATATATCTTGGTTGCGGGCACAACCTGTGTGGGGTGTGCAGGAGGCCGATGATTCTCTCTCATTGATGTTTCTCTCTATCCTTCTCTGTAAAAAATCAATAAATATTTTTTTAAATATATATTAAAGAAAAAAATCTTAGAGGACCACAGACTAGGGTGGCTATTGTAAATAATTCTAATAAATTAAAAGTTAAAGCTGGTTGGGCCTGAAAAAGTATCAGATGTTAAGACAAGCATTTCACTTATAAAGAGGATTCCCTAAGATCAACTCCAAATAGACAGACCTTGGATTATCTTGGACTATACCTACATCATTTCATGGTTACGTTCAATCTCCTATTTTTTTTTAAAAAAGTTCCCATTTGTAATATGATTAAAAATTTGTTTTTAAAAAAAATTAAGAAGTTCCATAATTTCGATGTACATGTGCTTTTGTTTTCTATTCATTTTCCACAAGATCAGAAATTGCTATCTTTTAAATTTTTTTCCTGTTTATGGCTCTGTATGTGCTCCATATAAGTGATGTAGGTGCTTATTTAGGTGGGTTCCAATTTATAGTGAAAATCACTGTTGCTGAAACCCGTTTGGCTCAATGGATAAGAGCGTCGGCTTGGGGACTGAAGGGTCCCAGGTTCGATTCTGGTCAAGGGCATGTACCTTGGTTGCGGGCATATCCCCAGTAGGAGGTGTGCAAGAGGCAGCTGATTGATGACTCTCTCTCATTGATGTTTCTCTCTTCCTTCCTACCTGTACAAAATCAATAAAATATACTTTAAAAAAAAAAAAAAAAAAAAGAAAGAAAATCACTATGTCGAACCAAAGGAACGGACCTCCGACATAAGCAGAGGACCTATTGTGAAGTTGTATGGTTTTAGTTTCTAGAATACAATACTATAAACCTTAAGACATAGAAAATGAAGAGTGCAGAGACTTAAGAGAAGTAAGCCTTTATTTCCTTGTTTCTCAAATAGTTGGCTGAGCTGGTTACTTTTTGGTAATTAATCAAAAAGACCAAATCCCATATCCTCGTCCGACTCCTCCGACTCTTCCTTTGCTTCCACCTTGGCTGGGGCTGCGGCAGCAGCAGGAGCAGCAGTGGTGGCAGCGGCTGCAGGAGCTGCAGCCACAAAAGCAGATGGATCAGCCAAGAAGGCCTTGACCTGAAGCAAGGGGAAAAGTTCAGTCAGAACGGTGGTCCACCACCTGTCAGCCTCTGGAGAGCTCTAGATTAAGAACAACGAATGTCCAAGCCTTCTCTGGGTGACCAGGCAGGGTAACAGCTTGGGTATGACCTGTGAGCTTAAGGCCAGCTTGTACCCATTAACTAACCCTCTTAGGATTCAGGGTCTCTTGTCATTTGTAAAGTCAAAGACACACTTCCCATGCCACCCTCCTTCCCCTCCCCTCCCCCGCCCCAGCCTCTCAAGTATAGGTTAAAAAAAGTTATCTGCACCCTAGCCAGTTTGGCTCAGTGGATACAGCATCGGCCTACAGACTGAAGGGTCGTGGGTTCGTTCCAGTCAAGGGCACATGCCCAGGATGCAGACTCAATCCCCAGTTGGGGGCATGCAGGAGGCAGCCAATCAATGATTCTCTCTCATCATTGATGTTTCTCTCTCTCTCCAACTCTAAAATCAATTTAAAAAAATTTAAAAACACATCCGCTACTAAAATATGATCATAAAAGCGACCCCTCATCAGGCTGCCGTTTATCCGCTGTCAGACCCACCAAGGTCCCAGCAGGCTCTCTTTACCTTCTCGGCAAGTGGGAAGGTGTACTCAGTCTCCACAGACAAAGCCAGAACTCGCTTGTACCCGTTGATGATAGAATGGGGTACTGATGCAACAGTCGGATAACCAATCTGAAGGCACACGCTGGCAACATTGCGGACACCCTGTGGAGGAGAAAATTATATTTTAGGTGAAATATCATAAAGAGAAGATAGAGAAGTCCAAGCAAAATTCAATGGCAAATAAGACTTCCTGGACTAGCATCTTAGTCTCATCCAGGAATACTTCATTTCACACCAAATACTTCTTCTGGCAGTGCAATTCAAATCCAGTAGCTCACAAATGTTTTTTATCCTTATGCCCATCATGGGTATTACTATACCATGACAACAATTGCTTCAAAAGCCTCTATTTGTAAAGAAATATAAACTATTAACTTACGTAACTACTGAATTCCATGAGGAAGATGTTTAAATAATGCCAGATGAGAACTTTCCATCCACTAGTGAGACTTACAAATAGCTAGCGTGAACCATGCTATTCCAAGCCCAGAATAGCCCTAACTATGTACCCAGCACTTGCAAGACTTTATACTCGTGAATTCATTCATCCTCAATAATCTTGTTTCATTAATGCCATTTCACAGATGAGGAAACGGGGCAGACATTAAACTGTCCTTGGTTACACACTTGGTTCAAAGGAGTGGCCAGGATTCAGTCTGAAGCGAGGCATACTCTCAACCGTTAATGTAAGAGCCTGGAATGGGCAGCAGGTACCTCCAGGAAGCGGGAATGCAGAGTTTCCTCTGTGATATCAAGCACTTCCGGGTTGTAGATGCTGCCATTGTCAAACACCTGCTGGATGATCAGCCCAAAGGAGAAGGGGGAGATGTTCAGCATGTTCAGCAATGTGGCTTCGCTGGCTCCCACTTTGTCTCCAGTCTTAATCAGCTGCACATCACTCTGCAGGACAAGGCAACACGTTAGCACCTGAGCGTTCAGCAGGCGGACAGCCACCAAGGTGGCCCCACTACTGGCCTGGCTAGTACTGGCAAGCCGGGTCCACTCACCAGGATTTCAATGGTGCCCCTGGAGATTTTAGTGGTGATGCCCAAAGCCTGGAAGAAGGAGGTCTTCTCTGGCCCCAGACCCGTGTTCTGGGCTGGCACAGTGACTTCACACGGGGCAATGGCACCAGCACGGGCAGCAGCTGGCACCTGAACAAAAACAAGAATGTGGGTTCTCCCTCCACAGATATGACCTGAGAATCTGGCTTTTAAGGAACCAAAATTGGTAAGGTCTCTTTAGCCAACCTGCTTCTCCTCTTACCTTGTTGGCCAGCAGCATGTCCCTGATCTCAGTGAGGTCCTCCTTGGTGAACACAAAGCCCACGTTCCCCCGGATGTGAGGCAGCAGTCTGCAAAGAGAAGGTCACAGAGCGGCGGTCACCTTCCCGCATCATTCTCCTCCAGGAAAGGGGAGGGCACAGGGGAGGGAAGACAAAGGTGCCCGAGCACGGACTGACTTCTCCAGAGCGGGGTTGTTCTCCAGGTGTCCTCGGATGGCCTTGCGCATCATGGTGTTCTTGCCCATCAGCACCACCGCCTTCCCGCGGAGGGACATGCGGATCTGCTGCATCTGCTTGGAGCCCACGTTGTCTGCTCCCACAATGAAGCATTTTGGGTAATCATCCAGGAGTTGCTACAAAAACCAGGCAGAAACAAGGCAAGTTTAACAGGAGGGAAGGGGGGAGGGGGATCAGGAGATAGATCATTGTCCCGATACACCAGGGTTTTGAGTTGATTCCCAGTCAGGGCACATACAAGAATCAACCAATGAATGCATCAATAGGTGGAACAAGTGGATGCTTCTCTAAAAATCAATCAATAAACAAAAATTTCTAAAAATCAGGAGAAACTAACCCCCAACGATTGGTTTCCATCTCACTCCCTTTCTTCTAAGCTTTTGAAATGACTCCTATTGGACCAACTCCTCCCACTAGGAGCCACCTGGGTTGTAGCACTGACAGATTTGTCCAAGATTTGCTTGCTGAGTATGGATAGTAAAAATTGAGTTGGTACATTCAATCAGAAAAAAAATTTTAATTTTAGCTCTCATTTTTTTCCCCCTGATGTTTCTGATCTGGGCACTACCGGGGGCACTTACATCCCAAGCCAGTGAATCAAGACCAGCAGGTTCTCTCCAAGAACTCTAGCACACCAGGACAATAACTCTAGTCTCGGGTTAGCTCTCTTTTTTTAACATTTCCCAATTATGAGATGTTTCTGACCCACTAAAATGATTGACAGAAGAAAAAAATACTCCACGTAAGGCTGGGATTTACAGCACTCAGATCACAACATAAAGCAAATACAACAAAACCTTCCTTGTAAAATCTAGGATGTGGGTATTACATTATTGTAACTATCCTGTTAAGAGCACCCACTTCAAGGCCTTCGTAGAGATAACCTCCATTGAGACACTGGGTTTCTTGACTGGCAGGAACTAACTATGCACCAACTTGACTTTTTATGAGTCACTCACTGCCTCTCGCCTCCCCAAGGATGGAAGCAGAGAAGTACAAGTGTGATGAGCGCTATCTGAATGCCAGACAGACCTGGGAATTAACGCCATTTGGCTCTCTTAGGAGCCCAGAACTGCCCAAGCCTGTTTATCTGCGACAGGTGGGGGCGGCACGCAGGTCTTTGGAAATCCTGAAGGTTCAATGAGATTTGCCTGAAATGGCCCAATTCAGCAGCTGGGCCCATGGGAGCAGATTGTCCCTCTTGGGCCGCCGTGGCGGAGGCAGCATGATGGCGGCCGCGACCCACCCCGCACTTACGATGATCTTAAGGAAGTAGTTGGACTTCCAGGTCGCCCTGTCTTCCCTGGGCATCACGGCGGTGCGTCAGGGATTGCCACGCAGGGTTTAAAGACGATGTCACTGAGGAGAGAGAAGGAGCTCAGGCACCCGTCCCCCGCCCGCCGGGCTCACACCAGAGGCCTGTGGACGGGGCAGGCCACGCGGGAGGGCCCGCCGGTCCGGCCTGGCCGCCGCCCGGAGAGCGCGAGCCCCCGCCGCAGCCCCAGGCCGCGTAAGCCCGGGCCCCGCGGCCTCCGGGCTTCCCCGCAAAGACGCCCATCCTTCCCGCCGCCAGGCCCCGGCGCCAATCGGCCATAACACGAACCTCCCACGAGGACGCCTGGCGAGAGGAAGGCCGTGCGCCGGCGCGCGCCTTTTATAAGTAAACGAAGCAGCCAATCAGAAGCCTCCGACAGCACCCCCACCTATTGGCTGGCGCCCACGCCTGTCTGACGAAGCAGACCTAACACAGGCAGCCATTGGATGGTATAGCTGCCACTCCAGCCTACCGGAAGCCGCCTTTCAGTAAGGAAGTTAAGGAAGCGCCGCCTCGGGTTGGAGCGGCTTTCGCCGAGCTGCTGCCCTCTGCTGGGCTGGCGCTGCTCTGGTTAAGGCGCCGGAGTTTGTAGACTCCGCGTTTCCCCTGCCACCTGGCCACGTCGCAAACTAGAGTATTTCGTGCAGTGAGAAATAGTTGCATATGCCTTAGAAACAGAATGCTCTCTGTCCCCTCTGTAGTTTGTCCTTCCCCCTACAAAAGCAAGGGATCATTCAAAACAGTCGGATCAAAAAATAAATAAATAAAACATCAAAAAATAAATAAATATCTCGCGGCCCATGGGCCACATGTGGCCCACAACGAATATTTTTGTGTAAGAAACGTTTTAATAAAAATGTCACAACTTAATTTTTACAATATCCTATTATACATAATTATTAATAACAAACTACAATGTTCACTAATGAGAGATTACTACAATCGTGTTGCATTCATTTCCCTTATGTGCCTTACACGCAAGTGCATCATTTCTCTCCACTAATACTAGCAGCGAATATTTTAGCAGCTGATGGCCAAGGTATTAGTCTTGGACTGACCTGTTTGGTGTGCATAATAGGAAATATTTCAGAGAAAAAGAAAAATAGGTTTATTTGCTTATGCTTATTAATTTGTGCAGTTATTCAATGTCTGGTAAGTTAGTATTAAATAAGAAATATTAATTTTTATTAAAATGTTCTATTATGGCCCTGACCAGCTTGGCTCAGTGGATAGAATGCCAGCTTGTAGACTGAAGGGTTCCAGATTTGATTCCGGTCAAAGGCATGTACCTTGGTTGCAGGCAACATCCCCAGAAGGGGGTGTGCAGGAGGCAGCTGATCAATGTTTCTCTCTCGTTGATGTTTCTAACTCTATCCCTCTCTCTTCCTCTCTGTAAAAAAAAAATCAATAAAATATTTTTTTAAAAACAAAAAAAACTTGAATCTTATTTATTTGGCCCGTGTTAGCCTTTGAGTTTGACATGCTTGCCCTATATTATCCACTCTCCACCTCTACTCCTATAATCGCATCTCCTATTTTTCTGACTCATTCCCTTCCAGCCAGATGATGTGCCCCTTGACGGCTCTTACACCAACTGTTCCCTCTTCCTGGGAGGCTCCTTGCCTATATCCACATGTGTGACACCTCCATCACAGTTTGGCTCAAATATCACCTGCTAAATCAGGCCTACTCTGATTTCCTTTATTTAAAATTACTACAAAAAATTTTTTTTAATAATCACTCCCACTTCCCTCTTACTCTGTTTTATTATTGTTTTTTTTCATTAGCACTTACACTTTGTAACACACTATGTAGTTTACTTATGACACTAGAGGCCTGGTGCATGAAATTCGTACACAGGTAGGGTCTCTAGGCCTAGACCAGCAATCAGATCTGATGGGGGCCTTCCAGCTGCTGACCAGGGCCTTACTTCCCCAGCTGCCAGCTGCCAATGGGGGGGCCTTCATTGATTCCACACCACCCCCAGGTGGTCAGTGCACTTCATAGCAAGTGCTGGAACTCCTGGTCTCCCCATCAAACTCCTGAGGGGACACTTTGCATATTAGCCTTTTATATACATAGTTATTTGTCTGTCTCTCCCTGTAAGAATGCAAGCTCCACAAGGCAAAATCTTTTGCTTTGTGCCTAGCACACAGTAGGCATATCATAAATATTTGCTTACTGGTACTTATTTTTTTAATGTTTTTATTGATTTTAGGGAGAAAGGAACTGCAAGGGTAATAGAAACATCGATGAAAGAGAAACATCCGTCAGCTGCCTCCTGCACACTCCCTATCAGAAATGGAGCAGCAAACCAGGCATGTGCCCTGACCAGAAATCTAACCAGTGGCCTCATGCACAGGACAGCACCCAACCCACTGAGCTGCACCAGCCCGGGCTCATAAATAGTAGTTGTTGAATGTATGATACAGGGTTTGCAGTCAGATGACCTGATCTTCTTATTCTTGGAAGTGATTTCACGTTGCTGACAGTGTTTCTCATTCCTTACCTGTAAAATGGGATGAGTATCCACATTCTAGACTTATGAGATTACCTGAGCTATTTGTGAAGACTTAACCAGTTCCTGGAATGCAGGAGGAATTTACTACAAACACTAGTTTCTTTTATTATTCACTCATTCAATACTTATTTGAATGATTGTACTACCTTGTGAGTGTGTTTTTTTTAGATATATATTTTATTGCTTTTTTACAGAGAGGAAGGGGAAGGGATAAAGGGTTAGAAGCATTGATGGAAGAGAAACATTGATCAGCTGCCTCCTACACACCTCCTACTGAAGATGTGCCGGCAACCAAGGTACATGCCTTTGATCGGAATCAAATCTGGGACCATTCAGTCCACAGGCCGATGCTCTATCCACAGAGTCAAACTGTTTAGGGCTTGTTTTGTGTGTGTGTGTGTGTGTGTGTGTGTGTGTTTAATATATTTTATTGATTTTGTACAGAGAGGAAGGGAGAGAGACAGTGAGAAACATCGATGAGAGAGCGGTATGGATCAGCTGCCTCTTGCACACCCCCCACTGGGGATATGCCCGCAATCAAAGCACATGCCTTTGACCGGAATCAAACCTGGGACCCTTCAGTCCCCAAGCCGACGCTCTATCCACTGAGCCAAACCGGTCTCGGCAGGGCTTGTGTTTTTTAGGAATAAAATGTATTTGTAAGTGTATTTTGCCCGTTCAGTTATTAAAACAGGGCTTATGTTTTTAAAAAGTAAGCTTAGATCCCTATTTTTACCCTTTGCACTTGACCAAGTTAGAAACCTCTGTATTTTGTTTGAAAGCCTCCTATGGCCTCTGATGATGAGCCAGTGTAGAGAAAAGCTGGAGATGATTACTGCTAAGGTTGCTTTGTCATGACAAGGTTTACTGCTGCATGCTTAGCGTTGTGCTGAGTCCTTTGCACACATTAGCGCTATTGATATTTGCAACAACATTAACACCATTTTAGTATTTCCGTTTTATGGATGAGAAAATTCAGAGAGGTTAAATATTTTGCCCAAGTCCCTCAGGCAGCGAATAATGACGTCAAAACTGAAACCCATAGAAAGTTCATAGCCCGTGGGCCTCGCTGTGCTGTAGTTCCTTCCAAACCCAGTGTCTCTCCCTAAACCCACTCTTCCAAGGATGTACATACAGCTACCTTCCCAAGGACATCCTGGCTCTGATGACATACGAATTTCTAACTGTAGTCCATCAATATAATGGAATACCGTGAGACCATTAAAAAATGATGCAGATCTATATTTATTGACATGGGGAAATACAGAGTACACCTGAGTGAGGAAGCAAATTGCAAGGAACCGCACCATATCCATTTCTATAAATAAAACAAGTCCAACGTAAACCCAGTCACTATCTTTGGGCGAGGGTTGAAGGTAATTTTCACTTCTGAGCTCACTGTGAAATGGGCAGGGTTCAGACTAGAATCAACATGTCCCAAAGAGGTAAGAGGTTTTGGAGGGCCATTCCAAACAACAGGGAAACTGAGGCCGGAAGAGGGTGTAGGGTGTGGGGAGAACTGGAGTCTGGAGCAGGACTGAAGTTCTGGCTGACAAAGATGAGGAAGCCTGCAAATAGGAACATGACCACCAGGGGGAAGTAGAGACCAATCGCCAACTAATTGCCAACTATCAGTCCACGCCCTTCAGTGGAGAGGGTCCCTGGCCCATGGTGTTGTGCCAGTACATGTTGTGCCAGAGTGGGAAGAGGGCGGGCAGGGGGGCGCAGGGTCCGGTCAGTGCAGGAACACTGGCAGAGGTTAGCTGTGAGTTCATACATCCTGTCTCTGCATGTCGGTTCTCCTCTCTGAACTGCTTTCCCCATCTGCAAACGAGTGTAAGACCACCCACGGGCCCTGGTGAGGATGCCTGGGGGAAGCCAGGATAAAACTTAGTGCGGGCCCAGACCTAGGCAGAGCCCAGTCAGGCTGCTCCCCAGCCTTCCCTGGCCCACAGCTCACACCGGAAGCCAGGAGGACCTGTGCTCACAGACCAGAGTCCATGGGGCAAGGTCCCACCCCCGGCTTTTTACCTCAGTCAGGAACGCGGATGATTTATCCTCAAACGGCGGGCCCTGTGGGTCTAGAAGGGTTTGGTCTCTCTTCTGGGACTAAGCTGCTATCTCAGACCACAAAGAAAACGTACTAACACAGGTCAAAATAATGGCAAACTTTATTGGCATAAATCACAGGAATTGAAATGAGGAAAAGCCAGGTTAAAAGTTTACAGAGAAAAAAATTAAAATCAGTTCATCAAATAACCACTGACCCGGAAGGTGGACCCAGAAGCCCTCCCTCCGGGAGTGGGTCTGGGCGGGTGGCTGTAAACAGAGCAGTTAAGGCCTCTGGGTGGAGTGGAGACATCAGACCTTTGGGGGTCCCGCTGACCTGCCAGACCGGCTGCTCCCCGCCCGCCTCGGAGGGGCCCTGCTCTGGACCCCGCACACTCAGCCGGGCGAGGAGGCCAGCAGGGTGGTCTGGACCTTCCCGCTGTGGACCCCCTGGGGCCCTCTGCTGGCCAGGAACCCCAGGCCTGCCTGCTCCCGCTTCACCCTTGGGGGGACAGCAGAGCTCTGGGGACTTCCCGTGCTTCAGCGGGTCCCGTCCCTCTGCCCACAGTCCCGTCAGGCTGCCAGGCATCACCTGGCCCTTTCCCCAGCCCTCCAGTTCCCGAGGAGATGGGAATTTGGGGAAGTGATGCTCTCAGTGGAATCACCAAGACCAATGGTCAATCCGGCCCTCAGCTTTCCTGAGGAGGCAGGGGGAGCCCCAGAGCAGTGAGGGACGAGAATGTTCGGGGGGGGGAGGGGGGGGGGAGTTCACAGGGGAGCGGCGGCTCCTAATGGCTGAGGCCGGAAACAGCACCCCCAAAGCATCCTTCCTGTCTCCTCACCCCGGAACGGGACGGATGAGGTTCAGAATCCTAAGCCCAAAGGGGCAAGACACCCTCAGGCCACTTCAGTTAAGAGCTTGCTGGCCCAGGTAGTTAGGAAGGGATTTCAAAATACAGCAGTTTATAAAACAGTCCTGGGAGCCGTGAAGGAAAGACGGGGAGTCTGAGAGCCGCTCCCACTTCACCTGCTTCTGCTAAGAACAAGAAAAATACAAATGGCTTCCCCACCCCAAGCCCTCGGCACAAGGCCAGCCCTGTCCCACAGCCTCGGGACCGGCGGCCGAGGAGGAGAGTACAAAAGGGATTCTTTAAAATCTCTTCAAAGTCATTGTGAACAGAGAAGTAAAAGCACTCGGACGATATTCAAACCTCAGTGTAGAAATCTATCAAAGTCGGCACAGTGTCCAGGCTCGAGGTGAAAGGCCCTCCCGCCGCCGAGCGGAGGAAGAGCCTAGAGACATTATTGCTGGGGCCGCGCCAGTAGGATCGGAGCAGTGCGGGCAGGGCAGTGGGCCCGCCCGCCCGCCCGCCCGCCCGGGGGGCCGGGAAGGGCCGGAGCACCAGGAACCGTCCGGGCCCCGGGCACGTGGCTTGGATGGGTGGGTGATGCTGGCATTGTCTGGGGGAGCGCTGTCCCCCGGATTATTTGGATAATTTGGTCGGACGGAAATAAAGGTAAAAGAGAGCCCATCTGATCCCGCCTGCCCGCCCCCGCGCCACTGCGAAATGAGTAAGAGATGGTTCCAGTGTGGGGTGCTGGCCTGGCCAGGCGGGTTTGTGGGGTGGGGCACCAGCCCCCGCGGGGAGGACGAGGAGCTGGCAGCCTGGGGGCAGCTGCAGGAGGGGCGGCCCAGAGGCCCTGGCAGGGGAAGGAAAGCAGGGGGCGCCCTCTGCCCTCTCGCCGCCCTGCGCAGCCAGGGCACGGTTCCAGTTTCGGTCGGGCTTGGCCCTCCAGCCCGGGCGGCCGCGGGGCGCAGTAGAGTCGGGGCCGGGCTGGGGGCCGGGCGGTGGAGCGACGGGGCGCCTAGCAGAAGAGCTTGAGGAAGCAGTTCTGACAGTAAGGCTTGTCGTTCTGCTCCTTGAAGGTGCCCTTGTTGAGCTGCTTGAGGCAGAAGGCACAGACGAAGTGCTCGGGGTGGAACTTCTTGGCCATGGCGGTGATGCAGCGGCCGGTGATGGGCTTCTGGCAGCCGGAGCACAGCGAGCCGCGCCGCTCGTGGTAGTGCACCTCGCAGTAGGGCTGCCCGTCGTGCTCGAAGAAGCTGCCGTTGATGAACGGCGTGAAGCACTCCTGCGGGCAGGAGAGGGGGGAGGGGGGAGGGGAGAGGGGTGAGGCGGGGAGGGGTGAGGCGGGGAGGGGTGAGGCGGGGAGGGGGGAGGTGGGGGAGGGGGGAGGCGGGGAGGGGGGAGGCGGGAGAGGGGAGAGTCGGGGGAGGGGGGAGGCGGGGAGGGGTGAGGCGGGGAGGGGTGAGGCGGGGAGGGGTGAGGCGGGGAGGGGGGGAGGGGGGAGGCGGGGAGGGGAGAGTCGGGGGAGAGGGGTGAGGCGGGGGAGAGGGGGGAGGCGGGGAGGGTGGTGGGGGAGGGGGGGCGGCGGGGGAGAGGGGGGAGGCGGGGGAAAGGGGGGAGGCGGGGGAGGGGGGTGGGGGGAGGCGGGAGAGGGGGGAGGCGGGGAGGGGGGAGGTGGGGAGGGAGTGAGGCGGGGGAAGGGGCTCAGGCAGCCCGGGTGCGATGGGCAGGGGGTGGTCAGGGCCACCACACCCACTTGCTGAGCATTTCCTCGGTGCCAGTTCCCACAGACGGGAGCGAGGCGTGCGCGGTGAGTGACCTGCCTGCCCAGGGCCGTGCCCTACGCGGTGGCACAGCCTGGATGTAAACGTCCGCTCCCGGGCACGGAGCTGAAGCCCTGGTGCTGAAATGAACGTTTCCCTGACTTATCCGCTCGGAGGGCCCTGCTGGGTCCCAGGAACAGCCGCGGACGCCCCCAGACGCAGTTTGGAAACCAAAGGCCAGGTCCACGGAGGCCCAGAAAGCTCGCATCCTCACTGGGTCCCCCACGCCCTCCTCCCGAACGCGATGGCCGCCTCCCGGGACGAGGCTGGAGACACTGCCTGCTCCGGGCGTCCCCACCTCAGCACGGGCCCTGGCCCAGCCCCCGGGCGGGAGGGAGGAAGTGTCCCCGCTGCTGCCCACTAACAGCCACGCACAAAGCCTCCAGGCGGCTCCAGAGAGCCAGGGAGGGAGGCCCTTCTCTCCTGGCTGCCCAGCACCCCCCCCTTAATATGTTTTTATTGATTCCAGAGAGGAAGGGAGAGGGAGATAGACACATCAGTGATGAGAGAGAATCACTGATGGCTGCCTCCTACCGGGGCCTGAGCCCACAAGCTGGGCCTGTGCCCTGACCAGGAATTGAACCGTGACCTCCTGGTTCACAGGTCAGTGCTCATGCAGGAGCCGCGCCGGCCGGGCCGGCTCTCAGCTGCGGGCGGGGCTCCTTACCCGGCACACGAAGCACTCGGGGTGCCAGAGGGTGTTGAGGGCCGAGATGTAGTTCTCCAGGATGGCCCGGGCGCAGCCGCCACACTTGGGTGCGAACATGTCGAAGTAATCCTTCCGGCAGTAGGCTTTGCCGTCTTTCTCGTGGAACCCTGAGGAGCAGGTTGTGGGGCGGGGTGAGGGCCTCCGGAAGGGCAGCCCTGAATCCAGCACAGCGGAGCCCCTCCCCTCCGTCCCCTCCCCGATGCTCCCGGGGCCCCTGGCGTACCTTCGGGGCCGAAGAAGGCGCCGCACTGGGCACAGAAGAAGTGCTCGGGGTGCCACGTCCGGTCGAGGGCCGTCACCACTTTCTGTGGGAGCGAGGGCGAGGGCGGGTCAGAGCCGAGCTGGACGGGCCCCACCGCTGAGAGCTGTGCCCCCAGGCCGGCCCGGCCCGGCCCAGCGCGGAGGCCGCCAGGAGGGGTCCCCTCACTGCTCTGAGCACGGCGGGGACTCCGGCCCCCGGAGGAGGTGCCCCCACTCCTTCCCTCCCAGTGGGCGGAGGCCACGGGTCCACTGTGACTGTGACCCATCCCGTAAGGAAGAGCGGGCGGCACCTCGGCCTCACCCCGAGCCCGCGGAGGGAGTCTGGGGGCGAGGCCTCCGGCCCCAGGCCCCAGGCCCCAGGCCTGGGTCTGACCAGCGGTGAGCCGGCCCTGACGGCGCCCGGCCGCGGGGCTGAGCAGGCCCGCCGCCCGGACTCACGTCCAGGATGGGGCCGTTGCAGTAGTGGCAGCGCGGCGAGAAGAGCGTGTGGTAGTCCTGCTCGCAGTAGGGCTGCCCGTCCCGCTCGAAGAAGTTCCGGGAGCCGATCTCCTCCTGGCAGTGGGTGCAGACGAAGTGCTCGGGGTGCCACGTCCTCCCCATGGCCGTCACCACCTGAGGGGGGACGCAGCGGCGGCTCAGGCCCTGGCCTGCCCCGGAGCCCCCCCCCCCCCCCCCCGGGAGCCGTCCCCGTGCCCCCTCCGCCCCCATCACCTGCCCGGCGATGGGCTTCCTGCAGGCCCCGCAGACTCCCTTGGCGACTGTGGCGACCCCCAGCTTGTTGAGGTCGGACTGCAGGCTCCCCAGCATGCTGTCCAGCTGGCTCCCGGGCTTAGGGGGCTCCCCGGGGGGAGAGCTGCTCCCCGTCTTCCCCTGGTTCATGAACTGTGGGGAGAGGGGCAGTCAGGGTGGGGCTTTTCTCCCCCTGGACGTGGGCCGGCGGAGGCAGGAAGTGCGCCCTCCTCCCGGGGGCCAGGGGTCTCGGAGGGAGTGACGTCACAGGCTTCCCCAGGTCAGAGGGCCGGCCCGCACCGGCCGGAGCCGGGACACACGGGGCACATGGCACTGACCCCTCCCTCGTCCTGCCCCTCGGGGCTGCTCTGCCTGCCACTCGGAGGCCGGCCAGCCGCCCAGCACAGCTCTCCATCTGCTCTTTGTTCCAGGCCCTGGATCTTAAATGGGGAGAAAACGCGGATAAGAACACTTTTTAATTAAGGAAGAAACCAAAGAGACCTGTTGTTGGGCCATTTCACAAAGGGACTTAGGATGAGGGTTTTCCTCTCCCACCGGCAGCACCAGAATCAGGAGAAGTCAAAGTCTAGAGCGTCCCAGAGTCCCAGGGCGAGGAGAGAGAAGGGAAGGGGAGCCGACCACAGGCCGGGGTCCCGGGGGAGGGCCTGAGGCCGGATGGGCTGCAGGGAGGGGCAGCTGGGGTCTCTCTGGGCCCGGCTTTCTCAGGGGGAGCTGGGACAGATGGAGGGACGGGGAGGGACAGGGAGAAGGGAGCCCACAGGCGGGCAAGGGGACGGGTGACATGCTGGGCGGAGTGTGGCGTCAGGTTAAATGAGGTCCAGGGTCAGGCCGGGTCTAAGAAGGACGCGGTCCTGCTGGGCTTGTGGGTGAGGGGGGTGTGGTTAGAGGGGGACAGGGAGGCTCATGCTGGGCCCGGGGCCTGCCTGCATCGGGGGGAACATCGGGTCCTCGTCGGTCTGGCAGCCCACGGACCTCACAGCGGGGGGTACAGGCAGGGGAGAGGCGGACCCTGGCCCAGCGCTCTGGGCCCCGGGGGAGCCACAGGGGAGAAGTGAGGGCCCCAGCGGGGAGGGCGCCGGCAGGCCGGGCGGGGGAGACGGGCTGCTGGCCGAGGCATCTCTGTGATGCTGGAGGAAAGGGACAGGAGAAGGCAGAACAGAGAAGGTTCTTCTCAGGGGGACGGGAGAGCCGGGAGGGAAAACCACCTGGGAGGAGAGAGGAGAGCATTGAGGAAGACGGAGGAAGCACCAGGCAGCAAGCAAAGGCAGAGAGCCACGGCCCCAGCTCCCCGGCCTCCCACTCTGACCAGCCTCTCCGGGGCCGCAGGCCCAGGACCCCACAGCCAGCTCCCCTCCGGCCAGGACGCCTGCAGCCGGGCAGGGGCCTGCCCGGCGGCCTCTCCCTGCTACCTTCTCCACCAGCTGCCCCTCGGCCCGCCTCCCGCGAGGCTGCACCGTGATGACGACGCCCTCCGTCATCCAGGCCTCGGCGCCGGCCCCCGCGGCCCCCGCCGCCCCCTCGGCCTCGGGCTGGATGCCCAGCCGCCCCTGCAGCTCTGCGATGAGCCGCTCCTGGGAGGGGGTCCTGCTCAGGGTGGCGGGGTCCAGCCGGCGGCGAGGGGAGGGCTCCCGGGACATGGGGTGCGCGTGGCCTGTCTCCCGGCTCCTCCTGATCACGGAGCGGATCTGAGGGGGGAGGGGAAGCTGTCACAGCCCCACTCTGGCTCTGCCCGCCGCTCAGTCCACACTCGGGTGCCGGGCAAGGGAGGAGCTGAGGTGGGCGGAGGCGGGGCATAGCACACTCCCGGCACACAGCTCCTGCTCAGCGCTGACCTTGGGCAAGACCTCCAGGGGCCTGGCTCCTCATCCTTGAAATGGGTTTGCATTTTCTCGGCTGCCTTAGAGGTTACTAGGAGGACTATTTATCTGAGAGCATGGGAGTGGGCACTCTTAAAGGGACACAAGGCTTTTTCTTTCTTTTTAATTTGTAATAAAAAATGTGGTCATTCCTTCCAAATCTTCTAACCAGCTTTTTCCCTTATTTATATCCTTGTTTCCTTGTTTAACCTGCTGGTTTGCAGTGGTTTTGTCTTTTTGTTTCGTTTCATTTCTATAAAGTAAGAAGTAGCATCAGCCACGCTCCCTGCGGCCACAAGCTGTACTCCGAGCGCATCCAGGCGTCAGTTTCCGGAATCCTCTGGACAACCTGCGGGGAAAGGTCTGCCTTTACCCCATTTTATAGATGAGAAACTGAGGCTGGCAGGAGGTTGCCCAAGGTCAGAGGCAGCAGGTGTCGGAGGCAGGGTTTGTGTTCAGTTCTATCTGGTCCCAAAGCTCATGCTTTCACCCAGTCCGCGAACATGGTCTCCGGATGTCAGGGCGCTCATCTACAGGGAAAGCCTCCGACAAGCAGGAGCGGCTGTCACTCAAAGCGACTCCCGGCGGGAGCGGCACTGGCCCAGGGGCCCAGGACCCCTGCCAAGCAGACATGCGCGGTGGAGGCAGCATGCAGGTAGCCAGAGCGGCCGCTCAGGCCGCCGAGGCCCAGGCCCAGCGCCGTGCCAGCTCGCGCCTGCCTGGCCAGAGGTGGAAATCCTCCCGGTGGCGGGCGTGCCCGGGGCCTCGGCACATGGACGCTCTGGCCGTGCCTCGGCGGTGCGCTCCGGCCTCCGGGCTGTCTCAGGTCCCTGGGGTGCGGGCATCTCTCCAGCTGACTGCTCCCGGTCCACAGGAGCCGGGCGGCTGCCCTCCGGCCCCGCGGGCGCTGGCCGGGCCCCCTCCTGCAGCTGTCCACGTTGCTTCGTGAGAGTCCAGGTATCCGGGAAGATGACCTGACGGTCTAGGGCCACGACCGCTGGCTCCGTTACTTCCTGGAAGCTGGGCGTCGCTCTGTGGGGGGTCTCTGGCCTGAGCGCCTCCAAAGCCCACGGCTGCTCCCACGTGGCAGCCAAGGCCTCCTCTGACAGCCTTTGGGGGTCTCCAGGCTCCTGGGGACCTGCACACCCAGCTCGGGGTCCAGTGTTGCCTGGGGGAGCCCAGGTGAGCTCACTCTTGAGGTTTAGTGCGTCCCTCCAGCCTCGAGCCTGGCTCTCTGCACCCAATGGCCCCAGAGAGCCCTCTACAGGGGGAGACCTTGAGTTGGGGGTGTCAGGTGTCACCCCGAGGCCAGCCAAATCAAGCCAGCTGGGGGCCACGGGAGGTACGAGGCCCTGCCCGTCCCCATCATCCTCTCGGCAGAGGGCCTCTGCAGTGTGACCGTGGCCTCCAGGGGAGGGTTTAATAGTGGGTGGCAAGAGCACAGAGGGCCCGGGAGGAGGAGGGGGAGGAGGGGAAGGAGAAGGAGAAGGATGTATGTGGTGTGAGGATGGAGCTGAGCTGGACGGCAGCCCCAGGGAGTTCAAGGCCACAGAAGAGGAGCTGGTCTGGAGGAGGAAGACAAAAGGCAGAGGGAGGAAGAGAGAAACAGGAGAGGTGAGGAAGATGCTCCCTGCAAGGAGTGGGCTCGACCTCAGGCTCTGAGAGCCGCCGTCTGTATGGCGGGTGACCGTAAGCTGACGGGTGAGGACAGGGCCTCACAGACACCCAGGAGGGCACGTGTCCTCGGCCCCTCAAACCCAGGCAGCAGGGCCCAGCCTCGGAGCGAAGCCGGGGCCACCCCTATCGGAGCAGGCAAGAGGGAGAGGGGCTCAGTGAGGGGCCATAGGAGAGAGTGACCGGGTAGGTCAGCCCGGCACCGTCAAGGGGCAGTCAGCCGCAGGCAGCTGCTCTGGTGCCTCCAACCCAGAGACCAGCCAGATTCTCGGCGTGGTCTCCCCCAGACAGACCCATCTTCCCTCACCCCGAGACCTCGGTCAGGCCACAACGAGAGCCGCTCAGCTTCCCGTGGGCACCCAGTGCTGGCTCTCAGAAAGCCACGGAAAAAGGGCGCGAGAGCAGGGCTCCTTAGGCCAGTGCCCGGCCTTGGCTGCTCAGAATGGCCAGTAGCTCGCGCCCCCACCCCCAAGCCCCACCTGCATCTCCCACAAAAACCCAGCTGAAGGGAGGTTTGGAGGCACCATCAGGGCCAAGAGCGCATGGGCCACTTGCTCCCCTTCTCAGACTCCCCAAATCACAGGCCAAAGGTGGACCCACGTGGAGAAGTGCAGTGAGCGGCCGCAGGAGCATTCGGTCATATCAGCCCCCACGGAGGCACCGCATCTTTGGATAAAACATCCGGCTGGCAGGCGGGGGCGCCAAGAGGGGGGAAGGGGACTGGCCCGGCAGGTAGGTTCCCCGCAGACAGAGCCTGAGGGATTCAGAGGCCGTGGACAGAGAGGGGCAGGTGGGAGGCTGGCACAGAAGCCTTGGACTGAGACGCCAGAGGAGGAGGAAAGGGATGTGCTGAGCACAGCCAGTGTGGGCAAATGGCCTCTCAGGCACCAGATCCCAAGGCCCCGTGGCCGCAGAGAACGCCGCCCCCACCGAGCGCCGCGACACAGGGCCCTTTGTTTGCCTCCTGGGCCCGGGCCGGGAGCTGGGAGCACCGGGAGGAAGGAATGTCTCGGCCTCACAGGCTCTAAGGCCGCTCAGTGCCCCCACCCCCTGAGCCCTCCCGCCCCCACATCCCTGCAAGGCCAGGGCTCTGTGGGGTCCCTGGCTCAGGGCGAGGCACCCAAACGAAGGACCGAGTTCCAGCTCCTCGCGCTGAGGGACGGAGGAGAGGGATTGGGACACGGGCAGGAAGAAGGGGCTTCGGGCACCTTAAAATCCGACAGGGAGGCCATCAGCTCGTCCAGCTCCCGGGTGGCAGAGGAGGCCGAAATCCGCGTCTGCTGCTGGCTGGAGGTGACGCGCTGGGGGCTGCTCATCTCGCCGCGGCTCACGGTGATGGCGGGGCTGCAGGCGGGCAGTGTCAGAGGGAGCCCCAGGTCCGGCCCCCCGCTCCCCCCCCCCGCGCGGCCCTCCCCTCCTCAAGGAGATGGACACGCCAGCTCTGACACTGGGGTCCCAGCCCCAGCCCCGGGGAGCCCCCAGCTCCCGATCCCTTTGGGGGAGGAGGTGCTGTTGCCGGGGGACAGAGCTGACGTGGGAGAAGGGAGGACACACAAACTGCAACTTCCCAGGAAGACGTCTCGAGGCATCCAGCCCAGGTTCAAGCTTGCCCGTGGCATAAGCCCGGGCCATGCAGCCTCCATGGCACTGCGTGTACATGTGCGAGCCCCAGAGACATGGCAGCCCCGGAAGAGCTAACACTTAGAAAGCTCACCATGTACAGCGCCTGCTGAGCCAGAAACCACTCCCGTGCTTTACATGGAGGACTGGGTCAACCCCAGGGAGGCAGGCGGCCCATTCCCATTATCCACAGCCCCGATCCCATTTTACAGATGGAAACATTAAGGCTTGAGACACTTCGTAAGGGCGGAGCCAAGGTCTGAACCCCACTGTGTGGCTCCAGAGCCTGTGCTGACGCCACTGAGCTCCAGGGCCCTCAGCCTGCGTACGCCTGTCTCTGCAGACGGCGGTGGCTCGAGAAAGGCAGGAACGGGGCCCGGGTGGCTCCCACCGTCCCCCCCAGCCTGGTGCCGGCGGCGGGCCGCGGGCCTTTCGGAGGGGCAGGCTCCCGGGCAGGCTCCCGGGCAGGCTCCCGGCGCCCTGGCGAGCCCGGCACTCACACGGGGCTGGGCACGGAGCTCTCCAGCTCGTCCAGCAGACTCTCCACGCTGGGCCGCACGTCCTCCAGGCCGCGGGCCCCGCCCCGCTTGGGCTTCTCCTTCACCGGGGGCCCGGCGCCGCCCGCCAGCAGGCTGTTACCCTCCGGGGCGCCGTAGTGAGGGCTCAGGGCCCGGGGCAGCGGGGGGCTCGAGTTGGCCTCGTCTTGGGGGAGGGAGAGAAAGACCGCTCAGCCTGAGCCCTCTCAGGACGGCAGGACGGCCCTGCCCAGGAGCTCCCACCTGCGGGGAAGCCCGCGGGGAGCACCCACCTGCAGGGAAGCCCACGGGGAGCACCCACCACCCACCTGCGGGGAAGCCCACGGGAGCACCCACCTGTGGGGAAGCCCACGGGGAGCACCCACCTGCGGGGAAGCCCACGGGGAGCACCCACCTGCGGGGAAGCCCACGGGGAGCACCCACCTGCGGGGAAGCCCACGGGGAGCACCCACCTGCGGGGAAGCCCACGGGGAGCACCCACCTGCGGGGAAGCCCATGGGGAGCACCCACCTGCGGGGAAGCCCACGGGGAGCACCCACCTGCGGGGAGCACCCACCTGCGGGGAAGCCCACGGGGAGCACCCACCTGCGGGGAAGCCCGCGGGGAGCACCCACCTGCGGGGAAGCCCGCGGGGAGCACCCACCTGCGGGGAAGCCCGCGGGGAGCACCCACCTGCGGGGAAGCCCGCGGGGAGCACCCACCTGCGGGGAAGCCCGCGGGGAGCACCCACCTGCAGGGAAGCCCGCGGGGCCGTGCTGCACGGCGTTCAGCTCCAGCAGCAGGCGGTCCAGCTCCGAGAGGTTGCTGCCCAACGAGGAGCTCATCACGGTGGGCGAAGGCTCGGCCGACTTCTGCTTGTTGGGGAAGCTGTGAGACAAAGGAAAGGTCGCCCTGAGCGGCACTCCCGGGCGCCCACCCTGCTCTCCAGGAGAACAGGCAGGGCCCGAGGTCTCCCCCAGCGAGAGGGCTGACTGAGGGGGGATGTGGTCTGAGGAGGGGAGGGGGGACGTCTGCCTCTCCCTTCCTCGCTGACAGGGGCGATGTGGCGGGACGGCTGGTTTGGTACGGAGACCGGAGACGGCAGTGACCAGGCCGCCAGGCCACGAGCGGCTGGGAGCCTCGGGCCTTCTGTGATTTGGTCCATGACCCAAGGCAGGACCTCGCAGGCCCTGGCCTTGCCTCCTCCCTGGCCTCGCTGCCTCCAGCCCTGGCTGGGCCCCAGGTTTCCAGGCAGGAGGGGAGGGGAGGGAAGGGGAGTGGCGGGGGTCCCAGGCGGGAAGGGGGGGAGGGGAGGGGAGCGGCAGGGGTCCCAGGCGGGAGTGGGGGGAGCGCTGGGGTGCCCAGGCAGGAGGGAGAGGAGGGAGTGGCAGGGGTTCTGGGCAGGAGGTGAAGGGGGGGAGGGAGGGCAGGGCTGGGTACCTGTAGACGTGCTCTTCCTCACCGGCCCGAGGGCAGGGGGGGCCCAGGCCGTCCTGGGGCGCGGGGGCACAGCAGGGTTTGGCACTGGAGCCGTAGGCGGGCGGCAGGGACTGGGGCTGCGGGAAGGAGAACCTCAGAGTCTCAGGGGAGAAGGAACAGTCACCCCCAGGAGGCCGGCTCATTAGGGAATTTCCACCCTCGGCTGGAGGCAGGTGAGTAACGTTTGGTCACGGCCCCTCACGTGGCGACTGGAGGACTGGAGGGGAGAGCCCTCTCCCTCCCCCCTCCCTCCCCAGCCCTCTCCCTCCCCAGCCCTCTCTCTCCCCAGCCCTCTCCCTCCCCAGCCCTCTCCCTCCCCAGCCCGTTCCTCCCCAGCCCGTTCCTCCCCAGCCCGTTCCTCCCTTGGCGCCAAAGCCCCGCCTCACCTGCTGGTGGAGGAATCGGGGCGCGCCGGGCTGCCGCTGGTCTAAGGGGTCGAGCAGCGCGCCGTTGAGGGCCTCGCTGGACGGGGGCGGGGGGACCGGGGGCGGCACGGCGACCTCCTGGTACGTGTGGTTCCCGGTTGGGTAGGAGTACGGGGTCTCCTCAGACAGGAACACGGGCCGCTTGGAGATGTGGGAGGTGGTGGACTCCAGGTCCTCCAGCAGCGCGTCTGCGGGAAGCGGGAGGGTGAGCAGCGGGGCCTGGGACCCCCCAGGCAGTGCCCGCTGGCGGGCACCAGGAGCTGAGGGGATGGGCACCTGCCCCGCCTCAGCTCAGCCAGCCCAAAGCTGGCCGCCTCCGTCCAGCCCACGGGGTGCTGGAGGCTCCCGGGCTGCCTGGCGCTCTCCCACCTCCGTGGGCACCTCTGTTCCCCCTGGACAGGCGGAGCAGCCTGCTGCGGGAGTCAGCGCTGCCTGCCTAGAGCCCGGTGCCCTGACTCCGCAGGGCAAGGCGCAGAGAACGGTGGGAGGGGCCCCACGTCACGGGGAGGGCCGAGCAGGGCCAGGTCCCACTCAACTTTCCAGAGCTTCAGCGTCTCAGCCCCCACATCGGAGGGACCCCTGGGTGAAACCTGTCTTCCTGACGAGCTAGAAGCAGAACCCCAGCTCTGAGAGCTCCTTCCAGGCTGCTGGTGAGGTGTGTGGGGAGGTGGGGCTGGGACTAGGCTGTGTTTCCTACCTCCTGGGCCAAGCCTGGGGGGGGCGGGGAGTGGAGCGGAGGGGGTGGCAGGACTACTCCGTAGGCTGTTTCTGCAGAAGCCTGGCAAGCAGCCTGGCCGGAGGCTCCAGGGCCCCACTATTCTGCTTTTACCAGCAGCAAGGGAGCCGAATCGGCCCTCGAGTGCAAGCTTCCATCACCCGCGCGGGCAGCCAAGAGAGCAGGGGGTAGGAGCAGGAACTGCTGATCTCCCCCTCGCCCCTCCGCCCCCTCCCGGACCTTCACCAGCCTCACAGCCCAGAGAGCCAGGCCCACACGCCACACCCCACACCGCATTCCTGCCACCCCGGGGACTTCTCACTCTCCCCTCTGGCAACCTGACCTGCTCGGGACAGGCCCGGCCCTGGGACAAAGTCCTGAGAAAGCAGTGGCAGCACCACTGGCATTTCCTAGTGGCAGGCGCAGTGGACGCACTCCCGGCCTCAGTAACCCTCGTACTATCCCACCAAGTGGGCTCTGAGGCTTCCTTTACAGACAGGGCACCAGCTTCAGGAGGTGGTGGGACTCGTCCCCCATCACCAAGCCAGTAAACGACAGGAGGTGACTCCTCAGAAGCCCCCAAACCTGGCCTGCGAGAGGCGCTGTGATCACTAGCCGATGCCACATTTAAACGGTACAACCTCCTGCAGCAAGGGCCCAGCTCTCAGGGCTGCGGGTCGGTTCCCTCAACCCCACCCCAGCTCAGAGAAAGGAAGAGGGAAGCAAGGCCCTCCGGGGCCCTGCTCTGTGGGCCACACCTTCTCCCGCTGTCTCCTTCCCCTAAGGCCAGCCACACCTACCCCTGGCTCCTGCCCAGCGGTTCAGGGGGAAGCTGTTCCACGGCCCAGGAGCCCGGCCCCCGCAGCCCAGGACGGGGCTCCTGACTCGGAGGAAGGTCAGTGCCTGCACTCCTCCCACTCCAGGTCCTCTGGAAGGGACCTGGCTTCCTGTCTCCAGCGAACCGGAACTAGAACAAGCCAGTGTGTGTCTAGGTAACAGCAGAAAAGGAACCAGCGTCCAGGCCAATCCCAGTGGCCTCTCCACAGCCCCACCTGCGGCGCCGGCTTCACGCAGAGTCCCCCTCCCTCTGGGCCCAGGCCAGCAAGGGTGGGGTTCCTCCTCCGAGGCAGAGCCAGCGGGAGAGGCCAGAGGCTCCCCAGAGCAGGCCGCAAGTGCAACCCCCCGGGGACAGGAGCGGCCGCTGTGCTTGAGCGCCCACCACGTGGCAGGAGCTTCACCTGTGCCACCGCCCGCACATGCCACTAGCTCAGACGGCAAACTGAGGCACAGAGGCAGAGGCACACCTCACACTGCCAGAGCCAGCTGCAGTGACCCAGTTGGGATATGAACAAACACTCAGAAGAAGACAGATGGGTAACCTTCCCCGTCAAACCAAACCCTCTGCATCAAACACCCCTCCTTGTCTCAGTCTGATTGCTGGTTTATGGCCTGGATGCTGGTTTACCATTCCAGTGGGCTCTTTCTACAGATACATCAGTTGGTCGGGAGGCGCAGTCCCGGAGTTCAGAGACAAAGGGTCTTAGGTTCGGGAGTTGAGTTCAAGCCCCAGCTGCCCTCTCCATGGTCCATGGCCACACAGCAAAGCCACTTAGCTGCCCTGAGCCTCAGTTTCCTCAGTCAGCGGGGTTTACACAGGATAGACAGATGCCACAGTGCACATGGGAAGCTGCAAACATCCGATCTTATTTGCTTTGTGAAATTCAGAAAAAGATCTCCCTCGAAGGCCATCAGGGTGGGATGCAAAGAACTGACTCCTCCTAAGTCTTCTATGGGCAGAATCTGGGCAAGACATGAAAGGAAGCCCTTGAAGAGAAACGCAAAGTAATAAAGTAACATTCCAAGCGAAACACTGTGGGTGTCAGGGAGAAAGAAGATACATCATTTTCCAAACTCCTGCTGAGAGGAACCCCTGCGGGGACACAGTCACAGGGCCTGTGGTGTACTTCCCCCTCTCCGCCCTCCGTCTCTGTTCAGCGACTAGACAGGGCCCGGTGTCACCGTCCCCCAAAACCTCCCAAACGCTTCAGGGAAGAGCGCCGGGAGCACGGGCAGCCACGAGGACACGCCGACCCCTGTGGGGGAGGGGGTGTTCCTATAGGTGCAGCGCCTGCTATCTCGACGGCGCAGTGGTCACAGCCAAGTTTCCCTGCAGGTTCAGCAGACTCCTCCCCTGCTGAGTCAACCGAGTGGCCACGAGGACTGCACAGAGTTCACCTGCAGGCGGAGCCCACAGGGAAGGGTCCCCAGATTTCAGCTCCATCTGCCGCCTGGCACCCAGCTCTACGCACCCTGGGGGCAGGCTCAGAGCTTCCTCCCACTCATACCCCAAAGACGGCGCCAGAGAAAACGGGGCTGCCTGGGCAAAGCAGGAACCGAAGCAGTCAGGGCTTGCTCATCCAGGATGAGGAAGGCCTCAGGCTTCCTCCCTCCCCGGGCCTGAGACCCTCCCAGGCCCGCCGCGGGGCTGCCCCGGCATGCTGCAGCAGGAAGCTCCCCGGCTCCCCGCCCCGTTCTGGAGGAAACCACCTAGACCCCCAAAGCTTCTCGCTTCTCGGCCAGTGAGCACGTCTCTTCCCGCGCGTGTGGAGGGAGAGGTTCTCTCCAAACTGGGGCCCCGGGGGGAGGGGAGGGCGCTGAGAGCCAAGTCTCCCGCCCAGCGAAGGCCACTTGGCTGGGCTCTGGCGACGAAGGGGTGCAGACCTTCGCCCTCCCCGCCAGAGGGCGCTCCTGGCCCGCCGGCTCCCGCTGCCGGAGTAACCACGGTAACCTCGCGCGATCACGGATTCGGCCGGGAAGACCGGGAGCCCCGCCACCGATGCACGAGGGAGACTTCAGTGCCGGGGGGCGGGGCTGCGGGAGGAACGGAGCCGGCTCCGAGGAGGCCACGAGGCGGCCTGGGTGCCCAGCTCCGGCCGTGCCCGGGGCACACTATCATTGAAGGTGCGACCCCGAGTGACGCTGGCCCTGAGGACCGCTCCCGGATGCCACCCCCTCCGCAGACAGACCAGGGGCAGGTGCCGGACCCCATCCCGAGGCCGTGCCTGGGCCCAAGCAATGCTCAGAGCAGCAGCGGCTTCGGCCTAGAGGCACCTGGGACAGGCGGCTGGGGGCAGGGAGCACCTGAACCAGGCCTCGCCCAGCCCCAGCCCCAGCCCCAGTCCCGAGCTCCGAGAGCTCCGAGCCCGAGCAAGAGAGTGTAATCTGACCTGAGGACCTGCTGGGAGCGGCCGGATCTGCGGCCTGGGGGTGAGGGTGGGGGTGGGGGTGGGTGGGGGTGTAATTAAGACTCAAGCGCCTCCAGCTGCTGCCCCTGGAGGAGGGGACCCAAGGGCTGGTCCGCCCGCATTCCAGGACTAGCTAGCCTAGGGGTGCAGAGCAGAGGAGGGAGCCCCAGGACCCCTCATTCTCTCAAGGTAGGGGGCGCCCCCAGACTGGCTCTGAAGATTCGAGCTGACCTACTGACACATGGCACCCAATAAGTCAGAGAATTAATGAACCCTTTCCACCTCTAACCCCAACTAGTGCAGAAAAACAAGTCAGGGCTCTTTTGCAAGACTGGCTTCCTCCTACCCAGACCACTTCTCAGGATGCGATAAGGGCTATCGAGAGGCCTAGCGCTGAACTGACACGGAGAGGGTGAGATAAACGGGGAGTGGTGGGTGGGGAGGACTCTGAGCCAGCCCCCCTCCCAGGCTCTAAGAGAGGGGGGTCTGAGTCACACCGACTGCTTCGTGGCTGAGCTGCCCAGCCAGGCTGCTTAGCAGTTCCCGGGCCTTGGTGTTCTTGTCTGTCAGATGGGAGTTCCACCCCTTAGCTCAGAGGGGTAAGGGTTACAGGAGAACACGGGGTACAGTGCTTGCTGAGCCCCGTGCTGGAACACACACATGCTCAGTACTTGGGGGCTAAAGCAGCCGGCGCTCCCTGCCAGGGAGGCGGTTACCCCTGGAGGGGACAGAGGAGGCCTGCCCAGCCCATCCAGCCCGGGGCCAGGATGCTGCGGTCCTGAGCCAGGAGCGAGGGCACCCGGAGAAGCCTCCCCGACAGGTCTCCAGGGTGCAAGAGATCAATGTGGGGTGTCATCGGGACCAGAGCCCACACTGCCACACCTGCCCCAGTGCTGGGCCCCTCCACACTGCTCCACTTGGCAGCCCCAGAAGAGACAGGGGCCATCAGGAAGACACCCTCTCAACAGTCTCGGAGAGGCCCACCGTGAGAACAAGACCTATTAAGCCTCGGTCACGGGTCAGTGTAACTCAGCTCTCGCCGCCCCAGCCAGGCAGGCAGTGTCCTAGGAGCTGCCCGCGGAGGGAAGGAGCAGCGACAGCGCCTGAGAGCTGCCAGCGCACAAGGGCCTTCCCAGCACGGCTGTGCGTCCTGCCATCTAGTACGAGACCGAGACCAGACTCAGGCAGCATAGCTCAGCCAGTCCCTTCCCCACAGGTCCCGGGGAGG